TTGGTTAAAATCTTATTTTCTAACATAGTATATCTAAAATCATTGAAATTTGTAATATATGCCTTTTCTGTATAATTAAAAGAGCATAAAATATAAATATAAAATATATATTCAAAAGTAAAAAAAAATATTAAATAATTTTTACCTTCAGATCGTACTTTGAATTCTATATATGGCATACTTCCAAGAACTTTCATTACATCTTCGTATTGACTCTCTGATAAATGTCTAAGAATCAGTCTTCTTTCTTCTCCTTTCAATTGTGCAAATTGTTGAAGACTTTTGATTTGATGCTATTTTAGTTAAATAAATTTGATTAAATTTTAATATATAATATATATATTATAATATATATATTATAATATTATAAATTTTAATATATAATATATAAATTATAATATATAAAAAAAATTTATTACAAGTCAATATATTTAATTTTCATTTTATTATGTGAAATATATCTTTTAATTTAGATTTTTTTTAATTTAAAAATAATATAAATTAAATATTTCAAATATATAATAGCATTATGCTTGATTCAATTAAATGAGTCAATAAATATAAACTAATATGTGATTAATAATCAGATTTGATTTCTAAATTCCTATATACAATGAAAATATTAATATTTTCGTCTGGTCTTGTATAAAATATTTGACAAGAAACTGTTATAAATTTATTTTTAAATCAATATATTGTATTGCTTGATAACTGCATTATTAATTATATGAATATCATATATCTATATTGTCTTTTCGATTTGTTTTGTTGGATTAATTATAATTTTATTTTAATTTAATTTCAGTTTCTTTTTGTTCTGAAAAATTTCATGTTTTTGACTTGTAACATTCTTTTTTGTACATAGAGAAATATATTCTATATTGAAAAATTAAATTTTTTTAAATATCTTTTAAATAATATAATAATTGAATGATACCTTTTTTGGTAAGAAACATTTTAAATTGTCTTCAGTTATATGTGGTAACTGTAAAAGAGGATTTTTGAATTCCCAAAAGCCTTGTACTATCATTGCACATAATTTCATGCAATTTTCTACAGTTTTTATACTTGGTAAACGGGGAACTGCAAAAAAAAAAAAAAAATTCATTAAATTATAAGTATATTTATATTAAATTATAAAATATTTATATTAAATATTATTAGTATAAGATATTCTTTAGAATATTTTATTTAAAAAAAAAGAAACAAAAAAAATTTATAATTTATATAATATACATATGTACCTCTTCTAGCATAAGCTAATAAAATTACTCTATTAGCACAAGTTACCATCTCTTGAATCAAGTATGGACATTTTTTTACTATATATTGTTTATCTTTTTCTAATGTATTTGGATTTAATGGTATACGAGACAAATGTGCATGGATTAAAGCTCTAGCTTTAATTGAATATGAGCCATCATATGAATCACATAATGCTATTGCCTTGTTTTTTGCACCTAGATCTGGCAGTTGCTTAATGAGCTGGAAATAAAAAATAAAGATTATTTGATGTAATAAATTTTGTTATATAAAGAAATGTTTTATTTTAAAATAAAATAAATTATATTATATCATTTATTTTTTTTATAATAAAAAAATAAATATGTAAAACTAATATTAAAATAATAATATTTTGATCAATTAATACATTCTATTCACTTTAATATAATAATAAAAAATAATAAAATATTATAATATATATTTTACCGAATAAATTTCTTCACTATCTGTATATCTTTCAACTATTTCTGCATTTCGTTTCTTATGAAATTCATATGAAGCAGCAAGAATTGTAATAACTCTTTTTAATGACATTTGAGGATATTCAATGAAAAAAATATAATACAATCGAGTAGTTGCTAACAGTACCTAGAAATCAATAATGAGTTAAATTCAGTAATATTTATTTTGTTTATATTTAGTTACATATGTATATTATACTATTATTCAGTGAGATATTTTTAAACAATTCTAGAAATTCTAAAATAAACAATAAAAATTGATGTACAAAAATTTTGCTTAAAGCTTATTTATTATATATAGTTATAAGCAATTTAAATTTATATTAAATAAATTAAGATATAAACAAATTAAAATGAAAAAAACAATTTCACTTTTGATTTCATTTCCTTTCATCTAATACAAAATTTAATTGTTTATAATTCAATAAATAAGCCAAAATAAAAATTTTTGTATATCAATTTTTCTACTTATTTTGATTTTTAAAATTGAGATCAAAGATATCTCATGAATATATTGACATTCTAAATATATTGCAAATTAGATATATTTACTTGATCACCAGTATAACGAATACTTTTATACCACCACATTCCAACAGCTGTTGGCAAAACAAACATAAACACCAATGAGTAGAATCCCAAAACCCACACTGAATTTTCTTTTTCGACTATCCAAGATGGTAAAGCAATTCCAAAACTCATTGCTCCAGGACCATCTGGATTTCCATATTTTTCCCAGTTTTTTCGTGCTTCTTCATCCGTTAAAGCTTGATATGCTATTAATTTAAAATAAATAATATTAATTTTAATAGCAATTAAAATTATTTTAACTTTTATAATATTTATTTAATTATTTAATATAATTATGTTATTAAATATATTACTATTAATCAATTATAACAACAGCATATGTCAATAGTTAATGTATTTTATATATTATATTATTTTAACATTTAATTTTATATATTACTTATTTTAACCTTTAGTCAATCGCATGAAAGCTTTTTCATTTCCAGTTTCTTTATCAGGATGAAGAATTAAAGATAATTTGCGATATGCTTTCTTAATGTCACTTTGAGTTGCACTCTATAAATAATAATAATAACATTATATATTAATAACAATATTGAATAAATAAAAAATATATTTTTAATTGTTAATACTTGATCAATTAATACTTACAGAAGATACACCAAGTATTTCAAATGGATCAAAATTAGCCATTTCATAATCAAATTGTGAAACCTTATATGTCAAAAAGATAAGAACCACCCATCCAAGAATAATAAGAAATTTGCTACAATAATAATATAATATTATGGAAATCTAAAATTAATATAAAAATAGATATAATTAATACTTACTCAAATAATGCTTTGGTTTCTTTCCAAGGCTTATTAAGTCGTAGGATAACTTTTTTCTTTTTGCATCCATCACATTGGCATTCCTTTGCTTCTTGATCAGGATCTAATTATAAGTAATAACAAAAATAAATTAATTATATAAATAATCTTATTATTATTTATCTTTTGTTTTAATATGATAAATAAAATTTAATATATTTTAATATTTTATAAAAATAATAAATATAATTTTTATTAATTTACAATTATATAAATTAAACTTGATAAAGTGAAGATTACAAATTTCTTGATATTGAATCGTAAAATTATTGAAAAAAAATATTTATAAAAATCATTAAATTTACTAAAATTATATTATATATCATAAATCAAAAAATTTATTGATATATTATAAACTATGATAATCTATATATCTTAAAAACAATAAATTTTATTAAATGATATATATATATCCAAATTACTTTCTAAAAAATATATAATAAAAACTTAAAATAGAAAATATTATAAAATAGAATATATAACTATATTCAATATGATTCGTATTTAATATGTTACTAAAGTACAAGTATTCAAAATATTTCATTTCATTATTGAGGTTATTAGAAAATTAGTAACGGGATATTCACAATTAAGTGCTAGTTAGTCTTTCATTACAACTTTCATTTCATTATGAAGTGAATTAAATAAAGAAAAAATTAATATAAAATATAATAAAATTATATGATTCAATTGAAAATATAAAAATAAGAAATGTTATTATAATATAATTTATTTTTTATATTAATTTAAATAGATTGGTCTAGAACTAACCTTGTTTGGGACAACGTGGCCAAAAATAATACGTCACAGGTATTTGAAGAAGTGCCGAAAATGATAGTAGAAAGTAGAAAAACATTCCACCACTTTCGTCGTATTGAAATTTTTGGCCACTCATAGCTCATTAAGTAATAATCTTTAAGTATATTGTTTAAGTACATTCATTACTAAACTTTTCTTTGAATTCACGATACCATTCAATATACAGTTACAGAGTTGTCACCGTCAAGACTGCCAACTCAGCACAGAATTAGTTTAAGTCTGATGTGCAATTGGCGTTTATGTTTGATCGATTATGTTTATATTTACGCAATAAAAAATATAAAGAAATACATTAAAAGTCTCACGTTAAGAAATGATACGTTCTTTACACTGTAGAGTTACAGATTATTTTACTGCTTCTAAATGAACTTAGAATATGCCACTACATGATAATGCTATAATTTGTGATTCTATTGTACTCTGACCGTGAACAACGTCACTAATGCCAACGTCATATAAATATTAGCAGTAAACAATCTTGAATCGATATTGAAATCGATAGACATATCGACTTTATAAATATAAATCCATAAGAAAAGAATCATTATTTTTTAAATATTATTTTTTTATAAATTTAATATATTCTAATTTAAAAGTAGAGGAAAAATACTTGCTATATTAATTAATTTATAAGGGAATTGTTTGGAAATTATTCTAAATAATGTTAATTTATAAAATGTTTATCTATATATTAAAAATGAAAAGTTACTACAAAAGTAAGTATATAAGTAATCAAAAATAATATTGAATAAGAGAAAATGAAATACATATATTGTTTTCGAAAATTGAATTAAAAATATTTTATTTCATTTAACACTTTATTTTAAAGTAATTTTGATTTATTTCTATTATATTTAGATTTGATTTATATAGATTTTTTATGTGTTATTTATTTATTGTTTATTATTTATTAATATTTATTCATATTAATTCATATTAATTATTAATTAATATAATTTAAAATTAAAATTATATTAAACAATTAAAATTATCGAGATACTTACTATGCTTTAATTTGAAGAATAGTAAGTAATGAATATATCCAACTATATTCATGATATTCTAATCAATGGTTTTTTCTGGATTGGTTTATTTACAAATACTGCCAATGTATGATTTCGTTTGACAATAAGATCATATTCAATATTCAAGATACATATTCATTATGTACAATAAACGCACGAAAAAATTGTGATATCTAACTTTGATAATTCATATTTTAAATTTTTAAGGTAAGTCACATATTTTTGATTTGATTAAGGTTAAATACATTTCAAAATGAAAATAATTTAAATAATTATGTATATATATAAAGATAAACCAAAAATTCATAACCAAAAATTTATATAAAAATATATTTTTATTGTGATATTTTATATTATTTAGTAATTTTATTAATTAATAATTATTTTATTATTATTTATTATTATAATATTATTATAATATTGTTAT